TTTTAAAAAGAGATTGCCAACGTTAATGCACACCGTGTTCTTAGCGAATTACGATTCCGTTTGTTTCTTTAGAAAAAGAAGGAAAACACGAAGGGAAAAGCTTCCATGTGTCATAGCTGGTCAAGATAAAGCCCGTTAAATCCTAAAGATAAGCTGGTCAAGCTCGATTGGACCCGTCGTAAAATAAATAAAAATAAAAAAAGAAAAAAGAAAAATCGCATAAAACGAAATGCAATTGTGCCGAGATATAAAAGAAGAGCTGAATCACTTTTCGTATGTGTACTCTCGCCCCGTTTCTCGGATACGTAATTTTAGAACTTGGCACAATCCGATTTTATTTTGATTCCGGTCAGAAGATCGCGGCGCCTTCCTGACACTGACTTCGTGCTCTATCTCCACCAGACAACGTGTCTCGATATCCTTCTCCTTGCATTTTAACACAAAAATTTTACCATCTGTTGCTTGCCTTCCAACTTCTAAAAAAGATCAATTTCAACGTTTATAAATGCAACGATTGGCAAATAATTATTTGAATAAAGGAATAACCAATAATTCTCTTTCCCCAAACAACCGTAACGTGGAAAATAATATTTGTAAACGAGTTGAGTCGAATTCGAGAGGAGAGTTCGTGCAAAATGAAAAAACTAAAGGGTTGAATGATTGAAAAATAAATAAATTTTCCGCGCTTCAGATAAGCGGAACATGATCGAAACAATCGATCGAGAATAATTCATGAACAATTGACAGCGTTGGAATAAGATGAATGTTTCGGAGATAAAATATGTTTCGCGTGACAAGTAGTCGGTAATGATAGAATAATATTCGATAAATTAATCTATATAAATATGATTAATTATGATAAATTAATAAAAGGAATTGCAAATATAATTTCGATGAAACGAGTATCAAAGGATAAATTAAATATGATATTCGACGAAAAATCATCGCGCTGAGAATATTAATTAAATAATTATATTAATTAAATAGATGAATCTTTGTAAATATACGTTTGTGAGAACAAACATATTTATTAAATAATAAAATTATTATTAATTTAAATTACGAACGATACTCATTTCTATATTTCTATATTTATCATTTACTTTCTTCGAATAATTGCTAATAATTGCTAATAATATTAAATAAATTGTTTTCCATTTGTAAAATTTTCCAATATTTTCTTGCTCGATTGTAAAATTTTCGTAACGAAAGAAAATTAATCGTTCATAAAATGGGTTGGTCGTAAAAATTTTTAGCAGTATTATATTTTATAGAGGACTCACCTTCACGGGAATGCAAAAGAGTATAAGCAAAAGATCGGCAGTTGCCAAACCACCTAGAAAGACGTTGGTCGGTGTCGCTGGTAAAGGTCTCAGTCTGGGGCACAGTGTTGAACCAATGATGACGACGTTTCCTGAAATAAAACTGTTACTGCACTGTTTCTGCACATTCGTTTCTCATCAAAACTTGATAATTACCACGCCCCCCTTCTAATTAAGGCCGAGCAACTTTCGAGGGAATACAATCGCGAAACGATCGAAACATCATGTCGAATAGGATCATCATCCAACTTAAAAACACGTGTTACTCAAAGTTTATATAACGAATCAATTTTCAGAAAATTTCCAGTTAATGTAATTTATATTAGAGATGAGAGAATGGGTCGATAAAATGTCGAGATGTTACGTATCGAAAGATATTTTAGTCGAATCAAAGTGATTCATTGTTCGCTCAGAAATAATTATTTGTGATTTTTCTTTTAATTTCTTTTAATTTTATACGAATAATTCAACCGTGTGTGACGATTTATTTATTTCATCGTTGTTGAATAATATCAAATATCTCTTTTTATTAATGAACAATTTTATACAAAAATCACGAATCTAGAAAAAAATAATTCTCTAAAAGATAAATTTTTATTCAATTATGAACAATAATTAATCTTTATGTTTCATCTTTATCTCCACTTTTCCAGGAAATTTTCAATAGATGATAAATATGCAAATGAGACATCTAAAAACTTTTAATTAACCCAATTGATAAGTAGATGGAATAATAAAAATATTTGTAATTATCATATGAACAAATGTTATAATATAGAAAAATGTACGATAAAATTAAATCAAAAATGCGTTGAAAATAAAAAGGAAATTTTTTTCCAATTGTTCACTGACTCATCCGATAATAAGGAAAAACTACAACTAAGTTGCAAGTGTTTGAACAACTCTTTAGACCGAAATAACGTTTGTTCGTGGTTCTAAACCATTCAATTCAATAAATTCAAAATACATTTTATTCGCAGCGTTGAAATGAAAATTGGAATTGAAGTTTAATCAATTGATCGTCGATTCGCCGATGGTGTACCGTTTTTCATCAATCCTTGATTATATTCTCCCCTCAATCGCTTCTCTCCAATTTCTGTTTTTTTCCATTCAACGTTACACGAAAACTTTTTCAAATGAACCAAACAAAAGAAACTTGTAATGAAAACAGATTTTCAAATTCAATTTCGTATCAGCGTTTTCTTCTCCCGTATATATATATATATACGAAAACAAACAAGAAAATTATAATAAAAATGGATAATAAAAATATCGCGATTCTTTTCTCTCTAATATATTTTACAAAACTCTCCTAACCTTTTTCTCCTCGATAAAATTTTTAAATTCTCCTCGCAAAAGTATCGATTTCCACCCAACTTAACTCGCTGATCAAAAACTATCCGATCCAGGTCACTTTTGATCTCACTTTTAGTCGGCCATTATTTACAGAGGGCATGGGGCAAAAGTGACCGAGCGAAAATTAAGAAGAAGAAGAAGAGGAAGAGGAAGAGGAAGAGGAAGAGGAAGAAACACGAGGAAACGAGGCAAAGTATAAAGTGTATTTTCGCTCACCGATTAATCCGAGGAAAAACGTGAGGGAGTAGACGACGAGGACAGGCCCCAGTTCCGCCCAATCGAAGTGGCTCAACGAGTCGTTGATATCGTAATCGATAAAATCGTCCGTGGCATTTGTCTCGTTCGGCATGGCTGAGATTAACTTCTTAACGACACTTGAGAAGCAACTTGTCCACCGTTCACCACCCCGTTTTCCATCCTGGCCGCCTCTCACACGCTTCGACCAACTGCATCGACAATTTTCGACGACCTCCCTTCCTCTAACGCGATTCCTTGGGAACCCTTCCTTTCCCCCGCGACCACAAATCTTCCTCCGCCCTCTTTTCTTCGCATGCTTCCCTTGCCACCGTTTTTACGCGCCACCACGTCGTTGCGTTGCCACACTCTCGCCCCTGCAATATAAAAGAGATCGTCAATTCAATGTTTCGGTGTGTTTTCATCTAGAGAAAGATATTAAGATTTAGATTATTGAATCTTGCTTTTTCGTATCCACGATAAATCGTATAATTTCGAATCATAATTAATAATTAACTCTTGATCTCGGATGAGGGGAGAAAAAGATCAAATCTCGTGAACTGAGATTAATTTTCGCGGAGAAAGGTTACGATCGTGTCTATGATAAAAAATCGTGATAATTTTTCATAGATCGAAGCAAATAAAAATAAAAAAAATTTGCATAATAATGAATGTTTTTTAAAAGCGAAAATACGAATGGAATACCGTGATACGATTATTCACGACCACTTCCTTACGAAGAAAGTGCTGATATATATATATATATAGGATTCATTGGGAGGAGAAGCAAGAGAATTAAAAAAGACGCAAGGGAACGGAATAGGAAATCGTTAGATTGAGAATCAGCGATGCGAGCAACGTGGACAAACAAGCGATTCGATCGCTAAAAGGGCGTTTAACTGGTTGAACACAGGAAGGCCTGGCTTCGGTTTAAAAGCCACGAATGCCACAATCAGCAGTCTCTTAAACACACAAGCTTTGCTGTAATTTCAGCGTGTAACGCGCCGGCCAACCGGTGCAGAGAACGAAAATTGCCTCCTATATTACTCTCGCCTTGAAATTCCACATAGCAAGTAATCTCCAAATGTACCTTTATACCTTTATTACCGCGCTACAAATACAAAAATAATATCCTCGACATTTTTTCCTCTTTTTTTCTCGACGAATTTCGAAGAGAAGGGGAGGAAAGTATTGGAAAACCTCATTGCCTCGTCAAAAATTACGCGTAATTTAATTATTCGAATTCTCGCGTCGAACAATTTCGATCCTCCAACTTTCGCGAATTTTCACTCCTGTATAATCCTCCGTGTCGCAGGACAGGGGGGAGAGGAGGGCATTGAGAACACAGAGCTGAGCGTTCTCTTTTCTCTTATCCGCCCCGTTTGAAAAAAAGAAAAAGAGAAAAGCCGGGCGAAACGATGTTCGCGCTTTCAAGATTCTTTCCACGACGTATTGAAGCGCCACGCTAAAATCATGAAAACGTGGGAAATGCATCGCGCGTTACACAACCGTGACCTCGTTCTCTCTCGAGCTTCTTCGTTAAAATCTGATTGCCAATCGAGATTCGTTTCATCTTCGTCGCGGAAATTTCGATAAACTGCCAAACTTCTTTATTATATCGTTTTGCTACAAAGAAAGAGGGAAGAGAGACATCGATTTTTCGAAAAAGAAGTCATAAATTATCGATATTTTTAAGGAAAGAAAGAAAATGTTTCTTTCATCCTCTTTATATAGGGAAAAGAAAATGATGAAAAAATAATAGGAAATCCGTGAAAAATTGTTGGAAAAATCCTTTGATTTTTCTAATTATTCACGGCGAGATTTAATTTCACGCAGATGGATGAGATTTAATTTCCATTACGAAAGATCAAAGCCGGGGACAATTTTAAATTCACTTTTGAAGTCAAGTATAAGCGATGTTTCATCTTTATCCTCGTAGCTCCTTTTTTTCCTTTTTCGAAAAATCAAACGTTAAACAAAACGCGACAAAATTCTAGGCTAATTTCGTTTTCTTTCTTGATGGAAAACTGCGGAGAGAATGTAAAGAGAAATACGACCCATCTTGTCGAAACGATTAATTTATACCGTAATTCCTGATTGCAGTTTCAATTCGTTCGCGATTCGACTCAACGACACATTAGACTTAACGATTTGTGCGGATGCCAGCATGTTCCACGTAACCGCAGTAAACTCATGGTTAATATGCAATCGAAGAGAGATTCCCTTTATTGATTGTCGATATATCCGTCGAGGATTGACAACGTGACGAAGGGTTATCAAGGGAAGATGGTTAAGATCATTTTGGTAGATTGCTCGTTGGGACAATGGATGGCTCGACGAATGGAAAATCGAGGATCAATTAACGAAGCATTCTCTAAATCTTTTAATTAAATAAATAAAGAAATTGAAATATAACACTAAAATTCCTTCAAAAGCTCTTTCATTTACTTCGATTGTTATTTCAAATTGAAAAGAATAAATTTTATTTAAATCGTACTCTGTTATTTTTTGATGCAACTCGAAAAAAATTCCGTATCCCGCAAATGAAGCTCGATTGACCCTTCATGATTGGAAGCGAACACTCGTGCAATGGGGGAGAGAGATTATATCAATTCGAGTGGCGACTTGGACGAAACTCATCCGTGCATCAGTGGTGATCAAATACCAAATTTTACGAAACTAAAATTATTAATTTTCTCTCGACTTTACTCGTTTAACTTCGGCAAATTTTTTTTTTTTTTTGTTTTAAATAATTAAACAAGCGAACTGGTTCAAACCGGTGGATTCCATGATTCTTTGCTCACGGCGTACTAAATCTAACGTAATTGCCTCGCGTAAATCCCGTATAAGTACTCGTCCAGGTGTTCACTTACAAAATCGATAATCGCTGTACAGTCCACGACACTAGATCTCGGTACACCAATCATTGAGAATCAGTTTTAAGCTAATGTATTTTTCCTGTCTCGAGTGTTGAATTAGCCTCGAAACGATATTGCATATATTTTATGGAGGATATACTTTATAGTCTTTGAAAAGTAAGAACACGTTCGTGAATATACCAAGATCTGGAATAAAATGGATTTTTTCGCGATATTATTTTTAATGGGTGTAAAAATGAAAAATAGAAAAGAAGGGGAAAACGTTTCACGAGTAACGGTGCGAGAACTCTTACGTGTTTTTTTTTTTTTTTTTCTCATGACTCGATATCTCCTGACGCGCTTTAAAATCTAACGTGTATTATCAGATTTTCGTTTTAAGAGGAAATTGATTATCCAACTGATTTCACGAGAGAAGAAGATGAATCGTAGATACCGTCCATATTTCAAAAAGTGAATCTAACAAATAATTGAAACGAATAAAGAATACGTAATATATATATATA